CTCCATTTTGTTTATTCCCGGCTTGGACTGGATCCTGATGAAGTTTTTTTTTTTTTTTCAACAGTCTTATTAAATGAGAATATGTATTTTTCTAAAAAATAGAAAATTAATTCCAGAATGAATGTCAGATATTTCTGGAAGAGAATATTTGCAAAAACTCTAGTCAGTTTTATTGGATGAATAGAAGTTTGGCCGTGTCTTTAAGTTTGCAATTTGTGAACAGGGACCTTAAGAAGCTAGATTTTTATGCTAAAAAGATGAACTGTAATTCATTACTACTCTATCTCCTACCATTTGAATAGGGACACTACAGCTGTTAGTCAATTTCTCCCTGCTAAATTAAGTATGCTGTGCTGGTATAATTAACACCTTCTAAATTCTGCATTTCATTTCCCTTGTACCTATTTACATTTCTTCCTGATAACCATTGAAAGAGAGGGAAAGTATGTGTACTTGTATAATGCCATCTGCTACTGGATACACAACTGCCCCCCCCCCCCTAAAGAGTTTATAGTTTACCTAAACTCTAATTAGTTAGTTCCAATCAGTGATGGTAGGAAAAGTTTTTAATCCCTTGGGTTCTCCACGTGGAATCCCTTAAGACTTAGAGTTGTCTCCTGTTATTTGATGTCTATATGAAACCACCGAGAAAGGTCATCTAGAAGTTTTAAATGAGATGTCATCAATATGCTGGGCCAACCCAGAGCCTCAGTAGAAATCTTGAATTAATGCTTGCAGGTTGGGAGGAAATAAGTTTAGATTAAATCCCTATAAAATGGTGTTATGGTTCATTAATGAATATCGACATCAGTCTTAATAGTTATACGAGATGGAATTTATTCTCAACTATTACCAGTGGTCTATAACACATTGTGTTACAGAATGCAATAAAACAACTTGGTAAAAGAGCCAGAGAGATAAAAACATGCATATACAACACACTGTGTGTCTGATAAAATGATAATTTAGACCAGAGGAGATTAAAATATACATTGGGTAGAATCCCTAAAGCCCCTTCAAAAAGCTTACCAAATTTTAATCTCTAATATTACAGGATAAATTATTCAGTATATGGTATAATAATCTTATTTAACTATGGATTTAAATTACCAAGAACATTTTGCCTTACAGCCAAGTCTCTCCACTTCTAAGAATAATTTGGGAGTTGAATCTTAATATTTTACTCAACTTGCTCTAGAAAAATAGTATAAATTGTTAGCAAATTCCACTTACGGTAGAAATTCCTAGCCAAACTTCTCTGGAATGTGAAGCATTTTCCAAGAATTTCAAGTTTTGACGTAGAGGTGCCAAAAAACATTCTGGAATTTTTAGACAGACCTTGCTTAATTTAGGATATTAGCAAATTCCGGAGAACTCTTAAATATGCTGAACTTAGAAATATATACAGAATACACCTCTAACTTTTCACAGCTCTGTAGCATATAAAGTTGTCTAAATTATAGATTTACTTCAGCCTTTATAGAGTTGCAGACATTGGCTATTGGATCTTTATATAGTTTTCCATTAAATTAACAGACATTCATCAGTATGTTGTAGTCTGCCAGCTTAGAACCATATATGAGAGGGAATTGGAAACACTCTTGCTTTTGCTTTTTCAAATAAAAGTTGCAATCTCAGTTTCATTAGATTTAGAATCTGATACATACATCTTACAAATCCCATAACCTCCTTTTTGCTAAAACTATTTTCAATCGTATTTAGTTTTATTTGCAACCAGTGATAACTTTACATGTCTTAACTGAAATTAGTTTATGTGATTTCCTTCCTTTGAAGTGATCAAATATTAATATTTAAATACTGTTGTTGAGTTTTTAAATGTTGCTGCCATGCTGCTATGTTAAGAATGCTATTTTCTTTCAATCAATATGTCTTTCTTGTTTTTCATCAAATTCCCAATGTTTCTGTTTTAAATAACTTCAGAAGCATACAAAAAGTCCTTCCTTCCAATCCAAGGTAGCAAACATAACTAATACTCCTTCATCCTATTTTTTCAACAACCACCACTCTCGGAGGTGGGTTAGGCTGAGAGAGAGATTGATTGGTCCAAGGTCATCCAATCAGCTTTCATGCCTAAGGCAGGACTAGAACTCAATTTCATGGTTTCTAGTCTGGTATCTTAACCAGTAGAGCAAACTGGTTCTCCACTAGAAATCTTACTAGAAAACTCAACCATGAGAAAAGTGACTGAGAGGCTCATGGCTTTAACAGACAAGTCAGGGAAATATATATATTCCTCTTTTTTTCCCCTGTTTTTGCAGGGTTGTTCACAACGCTCCATCATTTCCAGCAGCAGAAAGAGAAAATAAACTCTCTCTTAATTTTCTCAGCTGATTGAGGAACATTAGTTTAAGCTAGCACAAGCCTAGCTGTTTGGGGTTGAAACTAGCCCTTATTAATTCCACTATTGATGGGTTTGGGGAGAATGCTCTCTTTAATACTGTGCCATACTAACATATTCATAGGGTAATAATAAGAATATTATTATTATAACAATGCCTTACTTCAATAAACCTTAATGAAATGGACTTATAATACAGTGAACAAAATTTGTGCCTTGCTTCAATAAACCTTAATGAAATGGATTTATAATGCAGTGAACAAAATTTGTGCCTATGCCTCCTTTCCAAATAGTAGACAGAGTCAAGAATATTCAAACAAGTCTAGACATAATTACAAAAATAGCATAAATGATGTAAATGACATCCTTTTGGCTTGAACAAACTATATCTCTCTTTTGATAGATTGAGGTCTTGATGTATCATTGACACAATGTTTCATCAATCCCACACAATCTTAATTCCATTAAGGAAAGACCTTTTTAATTGCTTAGATGTTTAAACTTTATAGAGATTGGAGATAGTTCAGCATTTCTTCCATTGAAGTCACCCAGCTGACTTTAACGCCTCAGATGGGAATGGAACTTATAAACTTCTAATTTCTAGTGTGGTACCTTAACTCCAGACCAAACTGGCTTTTCACCTTTGCATAACTGTGAATTTTATAGGCCATAGACCACAATTTAGCAGACCCAGAAATTATCTTCTGGCTTCCCAGAAGATGTAAGAAATGATGTGGACTGGGTTTTAGTTCACCACACCTATGGAGAACACCAGATTGGTAAAGGTTGTTATTATGTATTTACTTATTTGTATCCCACCTTTATTATTTTTACAAATAACTCTAGGCAGCGAACGCAAACAATACGTCTTCCTCCTCCTATTTTCCCCACAACTCTATGAGGTGGGTTGGTTTGACAGAGAGGAACTGGCCCTGGGTCACCCAGCTGGATTTAATGGCTACGGGGAACTTGAATTTACAGTCTTCTGCTTTCTAGCCTGGTTCTTTAACTACTAGACCAAACTGGCTCTCTATGTTATAAAACTGTACGCATAAAATTGGTTATGTAGTATATCTTCTTTTCTCCACTGCTGGAAATAAATGACTATTTAAAATCTAGTATTAAATTTATTGTGTTATGTTGCAGGATATTGTATTTCAGGAAATAATTTTGTTATGTATAGCCTAGCCTAGCTCTAGACAAATTGAATGCAGCTTTAGTGATATCATGAGCTAACTCAGTTAGCTATAGTTGGATTACAGGAAACAATTTTTGTGAGATCTCATATATGACATTTCATGTATTTTGGACATTGAGAAATTAATCTAAATGCTATATTGAATTATTTCTCATTGGCTACCTTCTTAACTGGTCCATTACTTCAGCCAAGAGGTACAATATGGCAGCAGCAGTTTATGCCTTGAGGTACAGTACTATCTTACCAAGTAGAAGCATACCAATTCATTGACTATGAAGTATAGCCTTCATCACAAGTAGGCAAGGAACCTATCTGACTTGACAAGGAAACATAGATCCATTTTCCATTCTTCACAACAGATCCAGAGATGTGAAAAGTACTATAAATGTAAAAATAGAGTAACAGCTATTTCAGGGCCAACAATTATAATGCAAACTAACTAAACTAATGTCTTCTATTGCTAGGAAGAATATAGCAAAATACATAGTAAACATGGTAACATTTATATTATAATACTGTAATATATAATAAAAATATAGAGTAAAAGTTGCCTTGGACACCTGCAGTGTTTTATTTCCCTTTCCATCTGCCATAGCAGCATGTCTTCTCAGAGAATTAAGACTAATAGTGTAAGCAGCACAGTTGCCATGAGCCTGAAATACTTTTTCTGGAGTTTCTGGAAATCAAATAACTTTTTCTTAAATTGCCATGATCCCCTGTGGGTAGCAGGAGTGATTCTGTGCTGTGGATGTCTCTCAGTTGGCCAATTGTCATAATTTGTTGAGAAATGGCAGATTCTATCTGTTTCCCTTTCATGGATTTTGTCTTTAAAAGTTGTAAATAATTTGGTTCCATAATTCATAAACCATGTGGAAAAGATACATGAAATATTCTTATTTTTTGTACAGTTTTCCTTTGTGATATTTGCACGTCCTTTTTTCCACTGAGCAGATGTAATTTTGTGAATGCTTTTCTCTGTTGTGTGTGCTGATTTGTACATTTTCATTTGAAAAATCTGAGTGAAAATTTTTCTTGTGTCCACTTCTCTTGATGTAACTTGGCAGTTTTTGTGACATTCTTCCAGAAAGACCCACCTTTTCTATAGCCTGTTCTTGTTGGAACTCTTTTGTGCTGATAAAATAGAAAAGTTTCAATGTTGGGAGTTACTTCAGTATATTTTAGACATTGTGGATCTGATTTCTCAATCTGACAAGTGAAAGAAATCAAGAATAACCTGAAGAGGATGCCTAAGATGGGCTGTGATTAAAGAAAAATTAGATATATAGGTTGTGGTTTTTAAATTCTCATATTTCATGTCCTCTAAAATCCTAAAACTATCTATGTATTTTGTGTATTTTGTGTATATGACACAAAAGGAAATATGGCATATAAAAGTCAACTTTGGTTTCTTTCTCTTCTTTCTCCCCTCTTTCTTCTCTGTAGTCAGCAGCCGAATATGTGAAGTCCCGTTTACCAGAAGTCCTAAAGCAACACCTTCAAGATTATGAGAAAGATAAGGAGAACAGTGTATTATCCTATCAAACCATCCTGGAGCAACAAATTCTCTCAGTTGACCGAGAAATGCTGGAAAAATTGACTGTATCCTATGATGAGGCAGGTATGTTGGTTGACAACTTAAGTGGAAGTGTGGCCACAGTTTTATGGCTTAGCTCCATATAACAGATACTTTACCTAGGTATTCTTTGAAACTAGCTTTAATGATGCAACACAGTATGCTCCTTTCTATATTATTGTCATATAACAGAAGTATTATTGTATTAATGATTCTATATTTTATTTTATTTTAACATTATCTTGGCCAAGCATTGGCTGGTATATTCAGCCAAGCAGATAGAATGATGAATTAAATAGTATACTTCCTTTTTAAAAAGGAGATTGACTCTTCACATCATTAGCATAGTCATTATTGTTTTTCCATATTGCAGAAAAATAGCGATTTCAGTAGAATTCTCCACCTTTTTTGCTTGTTTCATTTAACCAAATCTTGTTCATTTCCTATAATGTCAATTCCTTCAGTCAACACTGAAAAGGATATGCTAATTCAGAGCAAAATGTGCTGCATATTCAGAATTCACATTAATTTACTCTGAAGAAATTTTGCCTCATTAGTCACCACAGTATTCTCTCTGGATGATAGTGAGATTATTTGCCCAGTTGAATTTTTGGATTTTTTAAATATAAGAAAATGAGAAAATTATATGCCTCAAACTAAAGTACCATCCACAAAATACTCTGTTTTTCTAGCAATGCCATATTGAAATATTTTGTGCCCTGCCCATAAAAAAAGAGAAGGATAATGTGATATGGCAGATAATATCCTGAAAAGTTTGAGGGAATGGCAGGAAGCAGCCACCTTGTTTTGCTTCTCAATATTTGCCTTTGAGATGATTGTTCACACAATTTGTGGCAGAGAGTTTGTGTGAATACTCATAGCATGTTTCAGAATTTCAAATATACCGACATACATACATGCCCATCATCCTATTCCTTTCCAGTCCTGAAAAAGAGTACAAATTATATAGGCAAGACAAAGGGGATAAAACAGGAAATCTTGTTTACACATTATTCACAACATTTCTTTATACCTTTCTAATCTTGCAAACCATCTTTGCTTCCAGCTGGGGAAACTGGATTCTGTTCTATATAATCTACAATATCTTCTATAAAACTCCTTCCATGACAGGAGTTCATTCTGGACATGATGAGGGAGATAAAAATGCTAAAGAAAGATATACACAAAACTAGCATTCTTATTTTCCCTCTCCTATTTTACCTATGTAATTTTTAGTACCACTCTAGTATGCTATGTCCTACAACAACATTCTTGCACGTACAAATTCTTTCGTCAGTTCAATAGTGATACAGGAATTTCTCATTTAACACCGCTAATTGGGACTGGAAACTCCATTGTTAAGTGATACAGTTGTAAGATGAAAAACAATTTGACTGCACCACTTGGCAACAGCAGTTCCAATTGCTGTCATTAAGCAGGGATCAGGTGGGTTATTAAGTGAGGGGTCTCACCTGACTGTGACTTGCAACTTACTGCCAGCTTTCCATTGACTTTACTTATCAGAAGCTGGAAGTGAAGGTCACAAATGGGGATCACATGACCATGGAATGCTGCCACAGCCATCATAAGCGTGAGAATTATTTATAACTACCACTCATTCAGCACCATTACAGTTTCAAATGGTCATTAAACTAGGGCCAGCTATATCCACAAGTTTTTCAAGTTTTGGAACAAAAAACATTTAGTTTATTCTTTTTGATAATAAAAAACCTTTTTTAAATTTGCACACTATGTATGTCCCTTTATCCACTCCTCTGTTTTGAACGAAGAAGGAAAATTATACATCTATTATATTATAAAGAATGACATTTAAACATGGGAAGGAATGTTTTTGCCTTCACTCAAAAATGTTTGTGCAATAGAAAACTTGTGAAAGATTTTTTTTTTCTACAAAGGTAGCTTTTAATGCTGAAGTAAAGCAATCAAATATGAGTGAAGACCAACTGTAAAATAAACACAAAAATATATTTGTGCTGTGCACTTAAAAAACACCATTATATGGTGTATATATACTATGAATGGAAGTCCTGTATTTATATCCATAATGAGGCTGAATGACAGGCTTGGCATTCTAATCAAAGCTCTTGTTTAGCTATAATGGTGCTACCTGTTCTGAACAGGGTCTGATTGCGACTGCTGTGCAAAGAAGTGAGTGTTTTAAAATAATAACGATAATAATAATTGCAGCAGATGTTCATGATTTGAAATCTCCTATCATTCAGCTTCACAGCAATTCCAAAGGTAACATTTCCTCCTGTCATGGTAGATTTCAGTGCTTTATCAACACCTTTCATTTTAATGAGAAGGTCAAACCGGTTTCAGCTCTATCTGGGTTGTGAATAGATAGATGACTGAGGATGGGCAGGAGATGCCGTTGTTTTAAAATGGAGCAAATTATAGCTATTTCAGGTGACCGCATAACTCCATTTGCATCAGCAGGATGACAAAAGTACACATCTTTAGGCTGCCTCTGAAATACTTGACATTTATAATCACAAGCAGCTGGAGTTCCAGTCAAAAATCTCATCTGTGAGGATATGTTATGCTGTGCAGAGTACCACATACATGGCCTGCAATGGTACCCCATTTCTGATAGCATTAAAGTCTTGCAAACTGGATATTTTTTGCTTTAGAAACTTACAGACAGTGTTGCAACGTGGTTCCCACGAGGATATGCGGATGCAAAATTGCTGTTGTAGGAAATAGCTAGGCTTGATCAAAAATCCAGAATGGTAAATGGTTAGATTTGATTCCAGATACAAATTTCAGATTTGATTCTCATGTTATACAACAAAATGTCAAGATTAACAGATGTTTCTCAGAGACCAGGTTTTGCTTTGCCAGAGGAAAGTAGAAAAGCAAGGCAATCTGACATATTTTGCTACATATTACTTATTGTGCCATATATAAAATCCAACTGGTCTTTTCTAGGGTCCTTGATGCAGCTGGCAAATTTAGTAGGCCAAACAGTAAACACAACCTTGGCTTTCTATAGAGATAAATAACTAGGAGCCATTGCTTTTTGTCCACGACACATGCTCCCTAAAATAGTTGCTTCACTGTTAAATATTAGAGTAGACTACTCAGAGAGAGTTTCTAATCTAGTTTTTTTAGATTGTGTTCCATGGAATCATAGGGTTATGAAAGAAATTGGTGGTGTTCCATGAGAAATTGTGGAGGGGGAGGGACCATTTATGTATCCAGCACACATACACATACTGTTCCTTTCCTTTCTGTTCTCCCCAAACTGGTTGCATTTGGGCACAATTTCCCCCCAAAAACCTGAACTTCCCCTGCTTTGCTCTCTAAACATTTTGGGTGACTGTGTTGTAGAAGTCAGTGGGATTAGACAACTTACTCAGAGTGGAAGTTCAGCCTTCTAGTTTTCTCATAATGGTGTAATTTCACACATTGTGTAACATCCAGTTCAGACTTTAATAAGGACCAAATCATAGATTACATTTTAATCACAAGTTTTTAAATACCATTTCCCCAATTATAGTTGCAACCACCAGCATGTACAAGTATCTTAAAGCAAATTATTTTGAAACCAAAGGGATTACCTGATGTGATATGGCATGTGAATCTGCTGTTGATAGAAAAACAAATCTGATTTCCCACCGCAAAGTTCTTCAAAGTATGTCTTTCTGCCATGGGGCTCACCACAGCCTCCCTGTGTTCAAGGGCCAGAGCTGCTAGCTGCCTCAACCCTCACATCTCCACATGTGTCACCTAGGTCCTGAAAATCAATCATTGACTGAAAATTATTTCATTGAAATGTGAACATGACAATACAGATGGTAATAATAAAGTTCAAAAAATGACAATAATAAAAGATCTTAAGAACCATGCTATCTTTTTCAGTATATCCTGACTTTTAAGACTTCACATTCATTTGCTGTGTCCTCCATTGCATGTCCTTGGTCTGGTTTCTGACCGAAACAAGAAAGTTACACAACCAAATATTATCTTAGCTTTCACAGTCAGAAAAAAACTCTTATGTTTATTCTACCAGGCAGTTTCCATTAAGCCACTTAAGAATCTGTTCACCTGCTGGTGTCCTTTTTCCTTGGTTGAGTAAGAACACAGAGTAGGAACTTTATTCTGTACAGTTTTACTAAATACATGATTTTAAAAGAATTTATTTCAAAAGAGAGAATAATATAACTTGAGGGGAATTATTGATTTTGAAAGGTGTGTGTGTTTGTGTGTATGTTTGTGAAATTAGTTTTGGTTTGAACTCACTCATTTTATGATTATTTACTTTTGAGAATACAGTTCCAGATCCAGCATTAAAAAACTATATACAGTTCAAATCCATAAGAAAAATGTGCATCTATGATATAAGGTTATTGTAATAATGGCTATATTTCTATTACAAATAATCTAAAGCATAAGATTTTTTTGAAGGAAATGCCAATAGAGTTGATCACTTTGTGGACAACTATGTGGCTGTATCATATAATATAAATAATATAGATTAGTTCTAACTCATTAAAATTTCAAGCTCTTGATAGAATAACTTTATTTTGGTTAGATTTCTCTTCTGTCTTTTAGCATTTTATATAATGCCTTTCTGTTTATTAACTTGGCTGTACAGCCATACCATATCTTTAATACCCTCCACATTCTTGACAATCTTTTCCATTAATAAAAAAAAAAAAAAAAAGCCATCCAGCAAAATGAGCTCCACTAAAAATAGGCATATGTGTTGACAAGTTTTATAAGTAAGTAAGCTTTCCAGGCCAAGAATAACAGATGGATTCAAATCTGCTTAAATCCTGTCATTTTGCAAGTGGCATTCTCAAGATAATTTGACCTAGGAGGGAAGACAGCAATCAAGTGAAGCAATCAAAGTCAAGTATCCATGGATTCATGCATAAACAGTAAAATAGAGTTCAACCTCAGGATACCATTATTGTATGTGAATGGATCTTTTGTTCACTCCATTCCTACTTAAAAAATGAAAATGGATGTTTTCTTTCATTTTGTGGTTGCCCTGGAAGGTTCATGAGTACACACAC